GTATTTTGATGATTTTTCTTTTTCTCTATAACTGCATCGAAACGTGGGATGATCTCATTTGCTCCGGAAGGTTAAGAAAATCCTGCCCTACCAGTTGATCCTGTCGTGTTACTCGTAAATGCAAATTTCGGTGATAAGTCTCCTTCGGGAATGTCACAATTGACGAAAGAAAAACTGGGTTTTGGTAACGACAATTGTATCATATCCTTGGTCGTCTATTATACAGATATTCTATAATGGTAGCCTAATTTAGGATGGCGTCCATGAAACTCTCAAAGGAATAACGTCGAACTCCTGGATCCAAATTATTGACACATTTACCTATGATGTCTGTTTGGTGTGCTTACCAAGTTTTGTCAATATATCGGAACTATAAACCACTGTTTATGTAGATATAAAACCAGGTTAAACCAAACGTTTTCTTTAGAAAATGCTGTACAAAGTTAGGAATATGACAGTTACTTTTGACTCGTTCCGTTTATTTGTGTTTGGGTATTACCTTGAAGTTCGGTATTTTTGTAACACTTTTTTGACGAAGTAGATACGTTCACAGAGTTATCAATATTAGAATTAGGTACATAAATACTCTATGTATTTATAATACATTGTACGCCAGGAGACACAAAAACCTAACAAAATAAACAATTAACTTGACGTAGTTAACATCAATGCATGGGCGACGCATATTACACTTAGTCTTCAGATGTATATAAACTATAATCGTTACAGTACAAAAATATATAAGTTCTTTCAAAGCAAATATCTTGAACAATAAACTATTATTTAAAATAAATGCTGGATTCATGGCATTCAGAAATTACATATCAATTGATAACCTCATCAGAGTTATTACTTTCAGTTTGATAGCTTTACAAATCAGTAGTTAAAACAACACAGGAACAAAATGATAAAAAAAAACTTTTGACAATTATACACAGTCCGATTTACTTAAATACTATATACAGTAAATAACGATCATGTGTAACACTGCGATAGTATATTCAAAAACAAACCACACAATCGAATATATATTATTTACAAAACTGCTAAACAAAATACATAATTCTACTTTATTTCAATGTTTGGTAAAACAAACCGAAATATACAAATTGCAAAAATAACAACTAAAACACTAGATGTTTCTTTAAAACTGTTTAATTTGACAACAATATTAAACCAAGGAAACATGTGTTTTCCCCCTAATGATATCAGATTTAACACATCACGACAAAAGATTGGCCTTGATAGCATGCTCCCTCGAAACCTGTCTTTTTGAAAAAGCATCTTAGTTTTCCGTTCTCTAAGGTACATGTACTATCTGTTGTATCCTTTATCTCAAGTTCGATGAGATAGATGCGTTCATCAAATTTTGAATTACAGCCCTTGGAATTTTGCTAATGAATAAACGATTTCTTGTGGCCATGATTAAAAGACTCTTAAAAAACGTCAGTGTACTGCAACCGAACGACAAAAAAAGGAAATCATATTGTTTTTCAATACAAGTTAATATACAATATGTCAAGATCTAAATCTCCACAGTCAAGAAAAGTTATCGATAGATTTAACAGACAATCAAATATATGTTCTCATACCAAGCTATCTAAATAACGAAAAAGATTTAGCAAAAGACTAGTATATTGACGAGACTTGCGGTCTAGGGCATTCTCATTGTCATGCGGCAGGGTAAAACTACAATTTTGTGATCTCAACATCCCCCCTCTTAATTTAGATTAATTGAATCAGTGTGATAGCTTTTAAATGAACGCACATTTATCGATTAAGGACGTTTTGTATGCTGTTGATATGTAAAAAAACTATGGATGGCAACGACTACTTGAACTTAAACAGTACAAATTTACGTTAATAGCACAAATATCGGTACATTAAAACAACTGGAATTGACCGAATAGTATTTTCTTCGTAAAAACGTTAACAGAAATAATCAATGCTTTGTTTTATTGGTTTTTGTATACGTTTTTATATTCGGTAAACGCTTATGCTTATGTTTCAAACTAAGCAGAATTAAAATAAAGTCTTATGTATATCTGTATATCTACCTTTCTATCTAAATCAACTGAGGTGAGCCTCAATCGACTGACCATTAGAGACTATAACGGCGGTGTACAATGACAGTTAATGTGTATAAATACCTTTGACAGTGTGAAAATTCAATTGTTTAATAAAAAAAGCTTACAGTTATATTACTCAAGGTTACATGTAAGTGATTAGACAATAAATAACACTTTATATGGTTGTTCTTTAATTATCAGATTATTCGGATACTTGAGTTCCACTAAAAAACTGCAATACCAAAGCTTTTGATAATTTATTGTTTTCTTTGTTTCTTAAATTGTCAGGAAATGGTTGATTTATATCTTCATCAGGTGCACTTGAGGTTACCAACTGCTGTGCGTTTATGTTTTGTTGCTGATTATCCATTGTACAGGATTGTGGTCGCTGCCTATTGTTTGAACTGAAGTAGTGAACAATTGCCATTTAGAATAGGTTCAAAAGATAGTCTAATACTCAACTACAACTTATTACAGTAACTTTAAACGAAATTCATCTCCGAGCGCATATGTTCACATGTAGTCATTTATTATTTTACTTTTAATCATAATATTAACTTTGTAATTTGTTGTAGAATTATCGGGAGTAGGGAATATTTGATTTACAGCTGAGATGCACTTGGATATACCAAGTGCTGTGAGTTTATGTTTTGTTGCTGATTATCCATCGCGTAGCCATGGGATAGCTGCAAATAAATAGTATCCTTTCATTGGCATCTGATTTCCTTGTGAGTTGCCGGGTTGTGGTTGGTAATATTGCACATTTACCGACTGTTGACAATCATATCCCAGCATTTGTGGCAACCACATTTGATTGTATCCTTGCTGGTTGCTTGAAGATACTTGTGTGTGTGTTCATATTATACATCATTCCAGATTGTGCTGTGTTAACATATATGACACTTTTGTGTTGTTAAAAATATGCATAGATTATTGTTTGGAACCTTTCATCGCATTTGCATCATGTTATACAATTTTACAGTGAGTATTCTTATCGGAATCATATACATGTATTGAGTAGTAACTGCTCGCCTTTCAACACTGACTGAAATTGAGGAATGTCAATCTGATTCATATGTAATAGTTTGACCTTTTTCTGTTATGTATTACCTGTATTTAAATACTTTTGAATCGTTTCCATTCTTTTTGGTTATTTTCCATTTGTTGATGGTGATGTCACTTTCAACTTGGTTAATCTGATGGAGTGTACATTTGGCAAGATGTTTATTATGCACAGTTTTGCCGTGACTACTTTGGTTTTGATGAACGTAATATTTTCAATACCAAAATATGTAAACAGCATTAATATAAAAAATCACAAACCTGTCAATATTTTATTTAGTTGATATTAAAAACAAAATAAGCTTAATTATTGAATTCATTGAAGATTTATCAGAAAGTGGTATTTTGCATTCAAGATTTTAGTGTCGACCGAATACCACACTTTCACATCCAAGTACAAACTGGTTAGTCCACAATTTCATTCTCTGTGAATAAACAGATAACCATTGCAAACACATACACAAGGGAAAACTTAAATGAAGAAATAGATTGTGATCAGAGGTCCTGTGTCGAACTAAAGCAAGAGAAAAATTACGATAAAAAGTTAATAACAGAGTATTGCAGACCGATGTTTTTGATATTTTATATAGTTAATTTTGTTTTTGTGTACCTTATTTTTATATACATGTACAGTGATGTGAATTGTTAAATCATTGACTACAACATGGTTTATATTTATTATGTAGAAATTTGAAAACATGAACATTACCAATACAAAAAAAAAGAAAATGCTCAGAAAAGAACAGTCCATGTAGAGGTGTTCCGTTTGTGGGGATGGTTTAGCGACACAAGGGGCATTTAATGCACATGTGTTCCTATGCTGTCTGAAGAAGAGGCAATCTTTCCGTTTAAAATTCTATTATCCAGAGAGTACGTATTCTTCTTGTATGACGATAGACCTTTACCGCCACACCTCGCGCAAACACACTGAGGTTATGTCTGATTTGGAGGAAATTGTAGTACCCGCAATTAATTCTGTCAACGTCGAAAGCAGTCACTTTTTACGTCAACAAAGACGTCTTTTAAGGTGATATATTAGGAAAATTGACTCTAGCCGTTTTACAAAATGTTTTACCCGAAAGCTTAATCTATTTTGTTCAAAAATGGCAAAGTCATAAAAAACTGCAAAATGCATAAGTCTTCGACATTTATTGAATTTCTTAATTGTATGCATGAAGTTTTAAGTATCTTGAAAGAAAAATATTAACTGGAATAAAATCTATTAGGCATGTTGTTTTAATAATATATTCGAATTTTCTATTTTAAACGGACAATACGTTGGAGCTTACTAGAACAAATGATAATCATGATTGATTGTGACTGAATGAAGTTTTTTCATTATGCATGCTTCTTCAAAAGCAATATAAACATTTCATATTTTCATATTTTCAATAATGGGTATCTACTACAATTTTACCCTAAACTAGAATACTGGTTAGGAGATTATAAATAATTAAGCATATGCATATATAAAGAGCGTATCAGTAGTTTCTTGATCTGTGCAAGGGTCACATACAAGGGGGATTGTCTCTTGTTAGTAATACTGATTTTGACGTTATGACTGAGTGTGGATTTGCATGACTGGTGATACATGCATATTAGTAGACGCTTACAATGTCGATAAACTCGTTCTCGTTCCTTTTGACGTTTGTGCAATTCTCTCAGTTTTTGTTTGTTACAAGGATTTGCCAATTCTTCATTGATTTACGAGATTTAAAAAGGATGAAAGTACTGTCGCATTGATTTATGTATTTATGCAATTGTTAGAAATGTCCTCCAAATGTTTTTTTTCCCCTGTAAAATGACTACACAAGTAATCGAAAAACAATTTTAGTATAGAAGATAATATTGTATAATTGACACAACAAAACGGCCAGTTGATTACAGAAGTTGCAGAGTTAAACTTTTTTCAGTAATCAATAGTCCAATAGATTACAAATATCAATTTTTATCAAGACGATAGATGGATAAAATAACGAGACAACTTTATCTGACTTGAACATATTTAACAATTGAAATTCACTTTTACGTGAAGGAAAACTAGCAATGAAATATTTGAAAAAAAAGAAATTACAGGGATTTCCTCACTCGGTTCAAATTATTTCTTACACCGAATTGTCATACAATTTCATGTCATAGGGCAGGCCACTTGTAGTATTTGAGTTATTCTAAATTTGACGAATAACTACATTTCACTTCTAATACAATTGTCGGCAACAGGTACTGGTTGGTGTTTATCTTCAGCAGGTGCAGTTGGGTGTACAAACTGCTGTGCGTTTATGTTTTGTTGCTGGTTAGCCATCTCAAATGATTGTGGTTGCTGTCCATAGTGTGCTTGTAATGGCATCTGATTTCCTTGTGAATGACCTGCTTGTTGTCGATAATTAGGCATATTTGCCGGCTGTTGACCATAGTAGCCTTGCATTTGGGGCATCCACATTTGATGGTAACCTTGCTGGTTCCCTGTAGGTATTTGAGTGTTTGGCATGTTATACATCACTCCTGATGTGTTCATAAATATGACTCCTTGTTGCTAAAAAATATGTAATAGAAAATAAAAGGATATGGAGTATATGTACATAGGACAAAATCGCACACAATACATAAAAAACATAGAAAATTATCAATGAACAGGGCTTTATCTTGTTCTTCATCGTGACAGTTGATGTAGGGTCTTCATTCATACCCTACAACAAGGTAAAGACGGCCTCTCGAGTCGACTTAATCGGTACTATTGATAAAAAAAACACATTTCACCTTCTTGCTCCCCACCCGCCTCAGAGTGCCAACTTTTGCGATGCTTGTGTACTAACTACATATAAAATGTATATATTTTCCACATATATCTAGCGCAAGAGTCTATTAATTGTATTATGTTACTGTTTGTTACGTATAGCATATGGTTGTTCTGTTGAATGTTCGGGACATATAATTGATTGTTATTGAACAGGATTTTACTATGAGTAAACTGATGATTTTCACGAACGTATGACCAATTACTTTTTGATATAATTATTTCATAGAGTAAAAAAAACAAAGTTGCTTTATTCCTTACCTTTCATGTTGATATAATTATTATTACATATTTTAACATTCAATGTTCAAGGATATAGCTAAAAGAATATACTGACATTTCCCGTATTGAGCTGTGAACAACAGCAGCAGTGTGATGCAGCAACTATGGATATGATGAATTCGATGAAAGAAAATACAGCTAGGAAGGCAGACACTGCAATAACACTTCCGGTGTTTGTATCAAAAACAGCCTAATAGAAAAATCATTAAATAATAAAAAAATGTTAAATAAAACATTGAGTAATTCTGTTCATATGCTGCAGTATAATTGATTAAAACTGACTGGATGTCTTTGCTTGTGTACTAACATACCTTGAAAGTTTTAACAAGCCCAGCCGATACTGTAGCTTAGTACGAATATGAAAGTACCGATATTGCTCTTATAAAATTTACAATGATTGAACTAAGAAAAGATTTGATTAGGAAACATATATCTTGCATCCATAGCTCTGATTACTTGTCCTGAGTCTGATACGAGACTGTTTCACCATAGGAATAATTGACCTTGGCTGTATGTGGCAAAAACTTTTGAAATTTTTTGGTCCTCAGTGCTCTTCGAATTCGTACTTTATTTGTCCTTTAAACTGTTTATGCGAGCGTCACTGATGAGTCTTTTGAAAACGAAATGTGCGTGTGGCGTACACAATTATAAACCAGGTATCTTTGATGAGTTTGGTTGGTACATTTGTGTTATCATATCAGCTCCTCAAAGTCGATTTTCAAATATATAGGCATTGCGTACCATTCATGAGACATTATTACTTATCTAGGAACGTAACCTTAATACCTTCCAATCCGATTTAATTATTTCTAAACCGAAATTAACAACAACGTGAGTTGTTTGAAACTGACGCATACAAATGTAGGTTACTTGGTGGATTGTAAATTGTCCAAACTATTTGATATCTTTCTTTTGTTTTACATTAACATAATTTACAACTTCAAAACAAAATATTTTTCGGGAGTGACATTCAATAAAGGCTTCATAATCTGTACACAACTGCTATAAACGTTTGCTATTATCGCTATACAATAAATATTAATCCTCCTCTCAATGCAAAAAATACGATGGGCTTCTATTTCCACGATTTCGATATGTTTTATTCGTCCCAAGCGAGCCAAAATAGCGCTTTCTTGACCATTACAAAAAAGGTTAACTTATAATCTGTAAATATTATTGTTTTTAATTTAAGTGTAGTATTATGTAAAAGTTTCAATTTAAACTTCACGTTCTATAAAGCTGAATATTATAGTCTCGCAATGTAGCTCAAAATCTCATTACACCAACTTTTCATTGATCAAAACTTTGAAGTTCAGTTTAATGAACAAAGAGGTTGTTATTTTTGTGGACTAAGACAAAATAATTCTCTTGCTTTTCTTTTGTTTTATTAATTTGAGCTGTTCTCCTCAACCTGATTAAATTGTATCATAAAAAAACATGCATGGTTTCATTTCCTAAACTATTTTGAAAAATTCGTAGTTTGTAGGTTGATTGACAAGTGAAGTCAATGTCGTCTTACAAAAACTCCGCCTATTTGTTTTTACCTCTATTTGTTAAAAGATTTGTAAGACTAATAGAAATAGATCTACAATTTGATAGAATAAATTCAAAAACAAGAAAACAAATGAATTAATAGATATTCAATATTTTAGAATTTGTCATTATAGTACCACACTATCACCTCATGTTTTATGTATATACCACTGTCGTTCATTTACTTTTTGTCAAAAAAATAATTAAATGGTATTAACTGTGTATTTGGATGTACTACTTCCTTTTGGTTCATTTAACTTACGATAATGGCTCCGACAACTGCTAAACCAAACACAGTTGATGAAAACACAACTGCTGATATTATATTACAAACCAGAAACGCTATTGTCTACAAATTAAAAAAAAAACATAACTAGACGGATTTGACCTGATCGTACTTTGTTAAAACAGACTCATACATAACGGAATATTCTAATGATAAAGGTAAATATTCTAAATATGCTTACCGCAGGTATGATGAGATGATTGAAGCTGTTTTCCTTCTCTATTACGGATATTATTTATGTACGTTTCGGCTATAAGGTTATCGAAAATTTGGAGTATTCCTGTTGGCACTAATTGTGCCCCTTTAATAGCAGACTTGTTTGTGTACTGTTATGAATCAAAGTTTATAACCATACTCAGTAAAGACCCGTTTAAATTGCATTTAATTGATAAATTCAACAACACCTACCGTTATCTTGATGATATTTTTTCGTTAAATAATCTAGAATTTTCTAAATACACTGCCGAAATTCAACCAAAGGAACTTACTTAAAATAAATCAAATATAAACGGTAATAACTGTCATTTCCAATATTAAGATATTTCAGTTTTACACGGGAATCTCTACACTAAAATTTACAACAAAAAGGACGAGTTTTCGTTCACTTTTGTTAATTTTACTTTTGTGGACGGTGATGTTCCTTGGGCACCATTTTAAGGTGTTTATATATCACAGCTCGTTCGCTATGCCAGTGTCTGGATTTCAATGAACGTAATTCATGTATTACTGGTAAATTATTAAATCAGGGATTTCGTTACTACACATTACGTAAACCTTTATTAAATTCGTTCTTAAATATCAAGATTTGGTTTTTAAGTTTAGTTGTATCTGTTAAAAACTTATTTCAAACGGACTAACACATCTTAATTTTTACGGAGATGTTGTTTATCGAGCCCGGAAATTTAGATACAATATGGATAAACTTATCGATCCTTTAAATAAACTTATTCTTAAGAGATTACCAATTCAACACTATAGATAATTAGATCTTTGAATATTGTTTTATTGGTATTAATATTGATTTTGTTATCAGTAAATTGAAATCAAACTGAATGTTATTTTATATTCATATTCACATTCATTTCTCAACAACCTGTGGATACCGTATTATGTTTGTCTTTTTCTGTTTATAACGTTTTTACACTAAATCTATTGGATGTGCACTGATATATATTTTAGTCTTAGATGCATGATTTTTTATAAGCTGTTATAGGTTTGAACTAGCTGTCAGTAACTGCGAGTACTCGCAGATATGTACTTAGTGTCGTTTTGTTGTGTGGATGTATAAGTACCCCGCCACGTCCACTTTGTGTTTCTGACAGATGTATTTCTGCTTTGTACCCATTTGATGCCCTTTTCAACAAAACATTTAAAGTGTGTTCTTATGTTGTACTGTTACACAACAGTCCCAGGTTAGGTGAGGGTTGGCGTCTTCAAACTAGTTTAACCCCGCCATATTTTGTATGGGCCTGTCCCAAGTCAGGAGCCTGTAATTCAGTGGTTCTCGTTTGTTGCTGTATATCATATTTGTTTTTCATTCATAATTTTGTTCATAAATCAGGCCGTTAGTTTTCTCCTTTGAATTGTTTTTTACATTTGTCATTTCGGGGCCATTTATAGCTGACTATGCGGTATGTGTTTTACTCAGAGTTGAAGTCCGTACGGTGACCTACAGTTGCTAATTTCTGTGTCATGTGATCTTTTGTGGGAAGTTGTCTTATTGAGACTTATACCACATCATCGTCTTTTTATATATTCATAGTTGCTGATAACAAAAGTTATTTAGTAGTAAGTAAGTTGTCGTTGGTGTCTGTTAAATTAGGATTTCATTTATTGTTTTGAGACCGATGGTTCTGTTCGAATGAATAACTTCACCATTTAGGGGTCTATTTTAGCTGACTAGATGGTATGGGATTACTTTTGCTTATTATAGAAGGCCGTACAATGTCTCACTTGCATGTTTACCATGACTCCTTATTTTATATTAATATCTATTTCTTCCTGAGTTTAATTTTGACAAACAAAACAAATTTAAAATCTGAGCGAAATGCCGCAACTATCTACACTGTTTCTGCTATGGACTGATGAATTGTACTTACACTATTGTTGCAGATAAGGGTGAGGGTTTGGTACCATTTAAACGTTTAAACCCGCTGCAAAGGGTTGAAGACCGTACTTTGACCTATAATGGTTTAATTCTATAAATTTTGACTTGGATGGAGAGTTGTCTCATACCACATCTTCATATATCTATTGAAATATCTAGTATTTCAATGGAAATTGATAAGGAAAGGAGAAGGTATGATAAGCTACGTGATCGGCCCCCTATTTTAGTGAAAAATTAAAGACAATTGTTTTTATGACATTTATGACAGATATCAAACTAACATAAACACCATTTAAGTCCGAATATTTCAAACTTTTAGCAATCACAAAGACACGTTTTTCTTTGCCTAGTAACGCAAAAACAACAAAATGGTCATTACCAAACTGTAATATCGAATGAATTAAATAGGAGCGGAAGCTCACCCCAAAAAGATATTTTCAGATATTGTCAAAAATGTAATGTTGTGCCGTCTTGCAAAAGGACTTTTTAGGGCGAGCGTCCGCTCATATTGAAATTAAAAAAAAACTGCCGGAATTTTGCCCCAAAACTTACTTTCTTACCGGTTGACAGAATGAACTTGGATTTTCCCCGCATTTACGTACATTTTTCCAAGCTCATTTTCATACACGTAGATTAAGTTTAAAGACTTTTGTGGACTTTTCCAGTGATTTGAATACATGGACATCAACTATGAATTTTATATAATGACCTCGACCAATCAATAGTTCAATTTGAACCGCCGGATTGTAAGACTTAATTTGTGACTCCGTTTCTACCGGAAAGATTTACCTGACACGATATTTACATTAGCAACCTGTACAGCTGAAAAATAGAGGGATGTACAATATTTTCAGATAAATTTATAGATGATTAAATTAGAAATCTATTATAAAACAAGTGTATTTTCCAACAGAGCAACAAATCACCGATACTGAAAGTTTCAATGAGATGAAGGGGAAGCGGCAGACGATCATTGATCAGCACAACAGTAAAAAATATTTCTGTTGATGATTCTATGCGGAAAAATAGACGTATGTTTTGTTAACTTGATATTTGTAAAAATATCTAAAAACAAACCAACCCCGAATGATTGAGTTTTTATTAACTAATCTTGGAGGAAAAAAACACGTATTATAATTGATAGAAGATATAAGTATATCTAAATTACCTGGTTTCAACTCTAAGTCGCAGTGGCGTAATGGTACAGATCGCTGCTCTGTAACAGAGAGGGCCATCAATCCTCAGATATTTTTGATTTTTTTCTTTTTCTTTTTTTGAATGAAATTATTAAAATTATATTATATGAATGTTATTTTTAATCTGTAATTTCACGAAATAACAAACAATTAAAATTGGGGGGGGGAAGGGGGGTCGGACCTTTATCGGGACTCCGGGATCGGGTGTTTTTAAGCTCAGGATTTTGGGATTGATCCTTTCGGGATCCGGGAATTCTTTTTTCGAATTTCGGGATGTCGGGATTTAAATTTCTTTAAATTCGGGACCTCGGGATTTCGGGATCAGGACCCCTCCGAAACAACAACAACAAGCAAACAATTAAAGGATAGGTTTCCCTGTCACGTTCACTCTGTGGATTTTTCAGAAATATATCTGCTTTGTATCCATCTGCCACGGATGAGTTATACCATTTTCAATTGATTTAAATACTTTTTGTACTGTTACACAACTGTCCCAGCTTATGGGACGGGGGGGGGGGGGGGGGGGGGGGTGGAGGGGGGATGCGCATTTAAACTGGTTGTTAAAATCCCTCCACATTCTGTATGTGTCTTTCCCTAGTCAGGAGCCTGTATTTTAGTGGTTGTCGTTTGTTGCTGTATATCATTATTGTTTATCGTACATTGTTTCGTTCATAAATCAGGTCGTTAGTTTTCTTGTTTGAAATGTTTTACATTTGTCATTTCGGTGCCTTTTATAGCTGAGTAAGAGGTATAGGTTTTACTTATTGTTGTGGACCGTACGGCGACATGTAGTTGGTAATTTCTGTCTCAATTGGTCTCTTATGGAGAGTTGTCTAATTGGCAATTATACCACATCTTTTTATTTTTATACGACTTAGTTTTAAATAAGGCTTCGAATTAGCTTAATTTTTCTATGAAATAAAACAGCCTTGCACTGTTACAGACAGGCTGCTGGAAAATCTTTGCTTATTTAAGTACATAAGGTGTCAACCTTAGAGATTTTTTTCACCAATTATATGATTATCTAAAACTAAAAACATGGAAAAAATAGTTCACATTTTTGGGTCATTGCCTTTGGTTGCAACGAAAAGAGTGTAAACAACGTAAATAATAGATGAGTTTTTAATGAACTGTTTTCTTTTTTAGATTCAAAATACTTTTCTGAACGTCACAACAGTCCCCACTGGCTAGTTTTATTCACGCATGGATTGTCCTTAATACAAAAAGAAGGAGATGGTTGTGAATAATTGAATTAAATTGAAATGTAAGTTGCAAAAGTATTATTGATACTTGAAATGGCATTGACTACGAGATATGAAATAGAATAAAAACACATAAAATGTAGATACATATTATCGAGTCCACGAATTGTTAACTGTTTAATTTAGACTTCTTATAATTTGGATATACGTTTTAGTATGTTTTAAAATAGAGAATCTAATAACAAAATAATTTACGAAAAACAAATTTAACAGACACGAATAGACGACAACCACTTGAACCGTGCTTTGACCTTTTAACAACAGTGTTCAATTTACTCAAAATTAAAAGTACAATTTGATAAATGATCGAAAATGTTGCATCTGATAAAACACTTTAATTCTACATGCCATATTCTTTTAAATTTAATTTCCAACAAGAGGCCAACTCACATAGTTATAGGTTGCAATTTCCCATAGGAGAAAATTGAGAATGGAAATGGGGAATGTGTCAAAAAGACAACAACCCGAACTTCTTTTACGGCTAAAACTGTACCATTTTTACTATGAAGTTTTGGAAAAAGGATATATATCCTAGAATTGAAACCTCATATGAACAACAATTTTTTCAAAGGTCAAAATATAGGGCTGTGCGGTATATTTTTAACATTTATATGCCCGAACTTCTAAGAGTTTACATTTATACTTAAATTCTGTACTACCCGACCTACCTTTTTGGTCTACCTCAGAATTCAAGGCAGCCCCTAATTATGTTTATTTATACTGGTAACATTCCCAAGTTATGTCTTTGAGAAGATACAATGATATCATATTTGGGAACCAGTACGTAAACAGAACAAACTATTTATGAATATTATAATAAGCTGTGTGGTTTGTGAAACAGCTGTTTTTACAAAGTGCAATACAAAGAGGTTGATTGTTAAAGGAGATGCGTTTATCAGAAGTTTTTAACAAACGTGTCCTGTAGTCTTTGATATTTGTATTATTGGCAATCGTTCTACATATTCATATATTTACATTTCTGATAGGTGCAGTATGTTATCTGATATATGCTGATATTTTTTTACGTTAAACATTTATTGATAATATTTTTTACACTTTTTATAGGTGGCTGATGGCTCAAGACTACATTTGTACAAGTGTATGGTTTGTGGGAGATGTCATCTTTAATCCAGACGTTCGATAACTACTAAAGCACTGAAACAGTTTGTAAGAAAACGAATTGAGCGAAACCTTCAAAAAAATGAATTGATATGTGAGAAGTGAAGATCAATATACAGGAAAACACTAAAAAATGTAAACAATGAGCAGAAAGTTTCAAACTGTCTTTCCGAGTGTATTTCAGATGACAATGACTCTGAGTTTTGTTATAAATACAGAAGAAGCCGTATCTACGAAAATATTAAGTCCGAAACAAATTGAACTGAACATTTCTTCCACTCACACATCACATAGATTCTGCATTGTATGCAAGAAGGGAGGTACCAGTAGAAATAAGTTATGCAAAGTTCCTTTACATGCAAGAACCCAAGCATTCATAAAAATGCCGTTTTCATAGATGTAAATACACGCTGTTGCAAACATCATTTATCTGAACATCTTTTCGACGACACATCACTGCAAGCATTAACTGCAAAATACACTACAACAAATATGAATAGTTCTGATATAACTTTATTATTAGAAAATGTAAGAAAAACTTTGGCAACCTCTCATATCCTGAATTTTGACAATCCATTATCATTATCTGATGGTGACTATTACAACCTAACTGGATTATCAAGGCAGCAATTCAATGAACTCTCCGCATATATTGTTTCGGCACGTCAAACCAATGTAAGGTCTGTACGCACATGTATAGCTGTCTTATTAACAAAACTAAGGACAGGACTTCCAAATCATATACTTGGAACAATATTTTCGTTAACCAAAAGCCAAGTCCAAAGATGCAGTCATAGTGCCAGAGTTTCCCTTATGCATGGTTTTGTACCACATTTCATTGAGTTTCAGCACATAAGCCACGAAGATTTTGTTTGGAATCACACCACTCCAATAGCAAAAACTCTGTTATACAACTATGATATAGTCTAAAATTATAAAAAATAAAATCATAATTCATCAGTAGTATTGGTTCAAAAAGAGTAGCGAACAATTCAAGCTATAATCGTTGCTACTTTTTGTTTAATGGGTATGATTTCAGCAAGGGTCATCAGTTTTCTTTACTTATTATATACAGGCTAATAATGCAATCTGTTAAAATTGATTTTCTCTATAAAATAAACAATATTTTAAGTACGTACTAAGCATCTCCAGCTTGACGCACGTTTTTCTGTCATGCATATCGGTAAACAACCTGTTAGTATAAACTGAAAAAAAAGAAATTAACATACAAAGGTGAATGAAAAATTAAAGTGAAGAAAACTTAAATATTTCTGTCTGTTGTTTGTCGGTGTTTAATACAAACCAGGTTGTTAGTTTTGAACAAACAAAAGCAGCATTTGAGATATCGAATTAATACTATATAACAATAAAATCGATTCATGATAAAAACTGAGTGAGATGAAAACCCAAAAAGAATATGTTCATATGTCTAAACTTTGTATCAGTCACGAAGTAATGGACCTGTTAAACCTTCCTAGAATGCTTCATTAAAAAGAACAGTTCCTAAACGGAACTGGTGGCAATTATAAGTCGTAGTATAACAATTTTAATCGGTGATTTTAAAATAATATTCAAAGCAGCAAACAAAGTCAAATTTTAATGAACATTCAACATTATCCTTATTTGTGAGCGTCCATTGTAAACAAAAATTATATTGTTTCCGTTATATCAAGATCAAAAGAAAATAATGAAAAACAAAGAAGTGTATATTTTGATATGATACATTAAACAAAAAACATATGAAAGATCAGCAGCGTCTTGTATAAACTTTATTTATATTTAAATAGTACATGTTCAATCCAATACACGGAACTACTTCCTTTTATCATGTTTATTTGACGTTACGCTCATAAATGAAAAAAAACTTAGCACACAACATTTGAATTAAAACTGTAGATAATGACATTCGAAATCTTGAATTGTGGTTCTTTTTGTCAAACTTTTACAACAGCATTTGAAAAAGATGATTAAACTATAATATTTGTTTACAGCATTGGTTCGATACTTCTGCTGGTGCACTATCAGTCCCCGAGGGTATCATCAGCTCAGTAGTCAGTATTTCGGTACTGACATGATGTATAACAAACACTTCTAAAATTGTCCGTTATTCTAATATTACGTGCTTCTTTCGCTTTATGAATAGACCCATGCTCTAAATCCAATAAAATTTGTTTGCACATGCGTATATTGACTACTGCAGAAAAAAGAATTTTATCAAATTGGCATGCATTTAATATATTTTATTAACTTAAATAACACTTCCAAACTCTTAAATGATGCACATGTTGTTACTATTTCATTTATTATGACTGTAATGTGTTGCATTTCCAAATTGACATATTTGACCTAGATACGACAACCGTTCATGCTGGCTGTTCAAAACTCCTCCCTCTGAAAAATCACAGTTGTTTTTTTACAAACAAAAAAGGAAGGTTCATGGCAGAGCCTACAAACACGCTCTACACTTATACACATCGGACATAGAAATTACCTTAATTGTCCTAATCAGAATCGAAATAATTGATACAAGCTATACTTTATTGTAGTTTTAACATGGGTAGGCATTATATTCGTGTTATTTTAGCCCTCACTATCGCTCGGGCAAAAATAATCACGAATATAATGCCTACCCATGTTAAAACTACAATAAAGTAAAGCTTGAATCAATTATTTCTTAAATAAATTTTGTAATTGTTAGAAACAAATATTTCAACTCCCTCAGGCAAAGTTGACCTTAGATGGATTTGGTTATTTTGTTTAGGTACTGTTTGGTTATATAGCTCTTCAACTGTTTAAGTTCTTATACATCCTTAGCTGTCAAATATTCGGTTTTGAGCGTTCCTGATGAAGGTAAATCCAGAAAATCGCTTCGGACGCATGACATTGATAACGTGTTGTTTTCCACTTGAAACATACTCCTAGGTGTGGATTTGAAGCACTATGACTTGATGAATATGACTTACCCAACCTGAAAATGCCATGCCAATTAAATCCATTATAAGAATAGCGTTTGCTTCACCACAATGATAGTACGAATATCCAATAACAATATGACTGTATCTGTCATACGTGTAGTAGTCAAAATTTTTGCAACGACTGTCCATTTCGGTGTTACTTAGAATAGCTCCAACAATTCCAAGGATACCACACACAACACCTAAACTAATCTGTAGTCCACCCAGTATTCGAAGTGCTCTTATTCGTGATGTACGTACATCTGGTTGAACTTGGTGTGCTTGATTTGGACTTATTCGAGCATTGGTAAACATTATCTATGTAAAGAAATCATGCAGACATTGAAATATTTTATTTCGAAGACTTTGGTTTACATCGAAATATTTGTTTGACTCTGTCATGTGATAAACCTGCCTAGATATGAAGTTATGCACTTAAATATTATATAATTTTGTTAATAGAGATTTTGTCGTGGATCCAGTTTCAAAAGGTAACATCAATGATCGTTTAAGTTAAATTTGAAATAAAAAATATAATATATTATTTGAAATATTCAATTCGTAGCTAATATTGAGTTTTCTAAACATTGATCGGTGATTGTCATCAATTTAAATCAAATTTTCTATAACTGCTGTCTATACAAAAAGCCATAGTGATTTTTCACAGGACAAGTTTCACATAAAGACGCATACATAATTTGGTAATAATATAAATCGAAGTCTCAGTAAACTTATGACGCGTGTGAAAAAGGACGATATGATTGTTATTGTGGTTAATGTTTTTATCAGATTACAAATAAAACTGTAACCAACTATTTATCTTCCCACACTCAAAAATGATATTTTGTCAGTAAAGCGTTTTCCATTAAACCAGCATCTTGTATTGAAAATCTTCTTTGTAGCAGTATGACATTTGATCGTTTGTTTGCATAGCTTTCAGAGACAAATCTTTCTGGATGATATATACCAAGAAACTCCTACAGATTCTTCGTATAATTATTGCATTGCTATTTTAAATATAGCAATCGTTGCTTTTTTCGGTATTGTTGTATAGGAGTTAACATCCCTATGTCGATGAGAAATAATTGCGTATTATAACATTCAACAAAGCAGAATGAACACCCGCAACAGCATGGTCTTACATTATAAAAATGAGAAGATTGCCAATGAGATAACTATCCATGAGAGACTAACGGATGCCGATGTAAGCAACTAAAGGTAACCGTATGGCCTTCAGCAATGAGAAAATATCAGACAATAGGTCATAAAAGGCCACGGCATGACCACAATTTTGGACGAATCAAAATCAAAAGTCAGTTCTATGCTACATGTAACTGATAAACGAAAATCAGGTATGACAGACTTTGAACAGGCATTCAACTGATTTAGTAGCAAGAACAAGTAAATTTTGTTCACGTGTTTTGATATTTTTCATTCTGAAACTTACTCTTAACAAAGGAGAAACTGTTTCAAGTTATTTTCTTTGATTATGTTTTTGAATTTGCTAAGGAATTTTGGTGTCAAGGCCTTTGATACTGCCTTGTTTTGAAATCATTGTTAATTCTTCCATTTAATTTTTTTTTAAAAGTGATTCGGTTCAACATCTTCTCACGTTACACTTAATTGATGTCAATAATAGAGTTACACCCATACCTCTGGGTACTTGTCCTCTATTGACGTTGCAAACCCTTACTGCCTATGAAGAAAACTAATTTTAGATACCTTTTTTTCTTGTTATTCCTCAGTCAGTGAAAATAAACGTGAAGAAAATTCTAGTCACTTGCTATTTGCTGATTACATTTGATAAATTTAACAGGTAAATTGTAATGTATTAGATAGTTTGATTTTATCAACAGTTACAGCTGATATGTTTAAAAAAACATATTTACTTTGCGATTTGCTTTTTGTTACTTTAATCTATGCTATACAAACTATATGGCATTGGTATATAATATGTATCTATGACTAAGAAAATCCGGTGTTGTTGTGCACCTTTTTAATTTAGGTTTGAATACTGTATGCACTAGATATTGTAAGATTTGACAAAGAAGTTGTTTAATATTTTTCTGAATAGGATAATGAGTTTTTATGGGGAGGATGCAAACGTTTAATACTGCCAGAAAAAGAAGTATTGCAAGAGATATATACAAATCATATTATGTGGTGGTAAAAGTGGGGGTGCTGGATGATTATCCTACCGTATAACCTTCATCTTTCAATAAATGTTTTACGTTATGATTTATAAATTTTTTACCTAAATGTCTCTTTTGTCGGTCATTTTTTAAATCGAACATCAATACAGTTTACGATGCTGTTGTCGTCAAAAATCCATCAACTGCTACAAAAATATGCTGACGGTTTTTTTTTAGGGGGGGGGTGTTAGTTTAAAGCTGGCTTGATTGACAAAATAAGTGAGTGGACTGACCTTATTTTTATCATAAAAAAAGCAATATTGTAAGTTTAGTCTTATGTCTGAAAATATCAAAATGTGAGTAATGTCAAGAACTTGTAAAAAGTCGCAATGATGAGTTTCCGTTGTAGATATCTACTCTGTCTACATTGAAGAAGAAGAGAAAAACAATGTCATACTTGAAATGCATCAGCACTATGCAATAATATGCTCTTAATAAGATACAACACTATTTGACGTATATGCTTTATTGATATCGACTGTGTCCTAGCTTTTCATGTTATTGTCGATCAGGAATATTTATCAAAAAACTACAAGTATACAGGTACGATCAAAGTCGAAAGATAAGTTTTACTGACTGATAAGTTCACACTTATAATTTATGTAAAAACCAGAATAAAAACAAATCTACATATAGAATATTTCAAACTCCTACCCCTCTTCTGTTTCCTTCAAATAAATTGAATCGCCAACTCCTAAGCAGTCATTACAATGTTATCGACTGATGAAATGACTTGTGAATCATAATTTGTTTAGCAATGTTGGTCCGTGTATATTTGCGTCCATTCGTTTTTCGTTTTGAAATATCAAAAACAAAAAACAAAAAACGAAAGTGTTTTCGTTTTTCATTTTTGATTTCTCGAAAACCAAAACGGAAAATGGAAGTCTTTTCATTTTTCGTTTTTGATTTTTCAAAAACCAAAATGAATATCATAAGTTTTTGATTTCTCTAAACAAGAAAAGAATCAACATTTGCATTCGATTTCTGCATTTTGCTCTATTTAATTCTCGTTTTACGTTATACAATGTTTTGCTTTCCTTTTTGATA